AAGCGGAGACCATCCGCCGGCCCCCCTCTCCGCCTGCAGAGTAACACGCATAGGAGGGCGTCCCACCCTCCTCACAGCGCCATCGGAACGACGATACAGAACCCGTTTGGCGGCCTGAGCTTGGGTGAGAACGGTCTCCAGCTGCGTACGGGTGGAGCGGTGAAAAGCGTATTCCCATACAGAGATCGAGCTCGGTGGATCTTGCTCGGACTCGTATTGGCAGCGGAAGCGCGTTAAATTCGTCACAGGATCTTTCCTTGCTTGGAGCCAAATCTCGACTGCTTGGGTCATACACAAATCTAACGCCATGCTGATGATATGTATCAGGGGAACTCAAGATAATACACCCTATAGGTACGTCTCCAATTGTATCCGTACGTGCCCCGGTGGTCCGAGACAACCCGCGGGACTGCGGCATAGCGAGTGAGAAGAGAGGTGCCATCACCCCGCCAGAAGAGATGGAAGCTCCAACCCCAAGTCTCTCGCAGTTTACCGCTGCTCATATGATACCACTCGTTTTCAGCCCGCTCAATCCAAAGACTCTGACTCCGTATCTTGCCATTCTTCAGACTCGCACCCTCCCCAAACCGCGCCACTACAACGTCCTGTCGTACGAGATCAGGCAGCGTTCCTGTAGCAATTCTCGGTAAACCACTCAAACGGTCATCAAGGCCATGGAGGTCGAGCTTGTTTACCTTCAGCTGTGCAACAGTATGAGAGAGAGTGCCCTCGGTATCCTCATTCCCATTTTTTGTTTTGTTTTGCACCACATCATCCTGCAAACGAGCAAGTGCTCCTCCGGATCACTGATCACCAAAGCAGACGCCGTCTTATCCCAAGTGGTCGTCAAAAATGCCATGTCCATAAAACATTCAAACAAGGCCTTGAGCGTTCAATATAGCAAGACACTTGCTAATGATGCGGCTCCCGTTAATGAGGAGCGCATTAATAAAGGCAGCATCGCTAGTCATCTTGCCTCTGATGCCTCCAGGCATAAAATGACGATCATAATTTATAAGTTTGCTCTCGGGTATTTTGGAGTAGGTCTCAAGCAAGGCCGCCAAATCACCGAACTTCTGCCCTGACCCCGGTACCGCAAGAGCATGCTGTTTGATCTCCTGCAACTTCTGCCTCGCCAGGCGAAACTGGGGATGGCCGAAGTCGACTACGGCGTTAGCGACCACCTCAAAGGAATACCTGCTGAGAAACTGTTGGTTTACGTTGTTCACAAGCACGCAATAGTCAGCCACGATGGCAAGACGCATATCATGATCCACCTGAGGCTCCCTGAGAATGGCTTCAAACCCTTGAGGGTTTTCCGTAAACAATTATACCAGCTGCGCACGCGGAGTGAAATAGTTGCTTTTGAGAAAGGCCTCCGGAATTTTCTGGCCCGCTAGAAAGCGGCCAAAGACGAGCAGCAGCAAGCGATCGAACTCTCCCTCTTTCCGACTCTGGAGAGAGGGCGCGGTTGTAGTGACCGCCGCGAGTTGGTTTCTTAAACGGACATCAGCGACGCTGTCGCGAACTTGGCCTGTATCTTCAAAATAGTTCAGCAACCTGGATTTTACCGCACTCAGGACCGACTTTTCATTGATAAGCTCAGGGTGGCCCTCAAACAAGGCATAGAGCTCTTTTACGCTTGGGTGTTTTTTTAGCTCCAGCAAGCTCAACTTAGCAAGGGGATAGTTTGGTATTTACTGCAATGCATTGCTTAGGAAGGAGATGAAATTCCGGTGGCAATTTGGTGCTCCAGCCCCCTTTGCTCGGGCCCCTTCGGGGAGATATCCCAAGACATCCATAAAGGACTAAGCGCGTTTGATAATGTGCTCGGGTTGGCTCTCGAGCCAATTGGAGGACCTCCAGCCACCGCACCTTTGGAATGAGGAAGACCGAAAGATAACCATCCGCCACCCGCTCAAGCCGCTGTGGTAGACCATCAACGATCCGCATTCAAATATGTTCCATTTTCTTCAAACATACGCTAAACAATCTGGTGATATCCCTCCCGAATTTCTTTCTCTAATTCTTGTTCAGATTTTTCTGGTAATGACGGAGAAAGCAAAGCTTTCACTGAAAGTCCACCGCAATAGATTTTTCGTCGCAATAGTAGGCGAATCGCTGATTGGTGCAGTCCATAGCGAGGATCGGGCGCTCGCAGAGGGTCAAAAGTTTCTCGTACAGTTTGAAGATGAGAGCCTGTTTATTGCCCGTGCCGCCGAAGAGCGAATTAAGAAACCGCTTCACGTTCGACTTATCCGTGAATCGGAAGAGATAGAGAAAGTTTGTGTTAGCCTTCATGTCCTTTATGTTGTCGAAGCTCTGGGAGAGAAAGAAGACATTCAATTTCAGATGATGGCTATACATCGTAAAGAACTTATAGAGGCATTCCCTCTGCGTTCCGCATTTGAGATTCATGACGTCGATGATAACGTAGGAGTCTGGTTCTATACTCGTATCTTCAATGGATTCAGGCATGACGGAATAATGCTTCAAGACCGTGTTAGGTTGGATATATTGATCAGCGGAGGTGTTCGAAATGACGTACAGCCTTTTCGGACGAACGTGAGCAAGGAGCCGTTTCATGAAGAAGCTCTTGCCCATATTGCTCTGACCCAAGAGCAAAACATTCTGCACCCATTTTTTGAGTGAAGGCAGAAGCTCGTCAAATCATTCTTTTTTGTGAAATTCAAGCCCGGGGATAGCGGGGTATTTGCCCCCACCAATGCTAGTATCGCGCGTGATAACACAGGAGGCGCTGGCGCCTCTGATGGCGTCGGCACGACTGACCCGGGGAATAACTGCCGAAAATCCATTTCGGAAAGATATGCACCGCTCTAAATGTTGAACGACTGGCCAATGTGGGCACTCGTCGGGGTCGAGTACGTGGCCCGCAAGGCCTGGGAGATGCTGTTGTTGATGGGCTGACGTAAACGGGAAGCCGCCGCGGGCGCCGAAGCAAGGACATTGGGTGCCAAACTTGTGGCTGACGATTTCAACCTAGAAATGGCCCTCGATTTTGCGCGTTTCGCTGCTCTCTTCCCCGTGCTCCTTGCAGCATTTAGGAGCATGCTCTTGAATTCATCCAAACCGGTATTCTTCGCTCGCTCCGTGGTCTTCCGTCGTGTCCCTGCTGTTCTTCTAGGCCGGGGGTCTCAAAAACTACCGCCCGCGGGCCAGATGCGGCCCGTTGGGCCTCTCAATCCGGCCCGCAGAGACACTTAAGAAAGCCAATTTCACCACTCACATTGAGAAAACTGAACAGACTAATTGTGATTTTGTTATAATATTACACTTTGCTGAAATTTAACCTTTAAATTTTGAATAAATATTTTCTTAACTAATGAAGCTTGTGTTATGTACTTCGTTTTATTAAAATATTCGCTCTTTGACCAGCGGTATACGATTCGTCGGCCCTCAACATGCTGGATGAAAGTCATGTGGCCCTCTGGCTGTAAAGTTTGGAGACCCCTGATTTAAACCTTACGTGAAACATAATGTTAAATGGACTGCATAAAATTTTGTGTAAATTTACGCAATTAATTGCGTAAATCATCTCATTTAACTAAAATTTTGAGTTCTGTCAACTTAAAACTACGGTAAAATCTTTACTTACTTTTTTGAATTGAAAATATACAAATTTCTTTGAGTAAACAATTTGCTCATTTTTGTGTAAATTGTTATACACAAAATCATGTAGAGCAGAGCGTTAAAGTGAAGAGTTGCGCAATTTAGACAAGTTTTACAATGTTTTGTAATAAGTGTAATCAAATTAATTTTTAAGTTGACTCATAAAATGTATGTTATTTGCCGGAAGGGATGTCTGCACGGAAAATATATTTTCACGAGTTCTTAAAAATCCAGTAATCCACATATAATCGATGCATGTTATCTTTACTTTAACTAGCGGCGCATATGCTGCATGACGCTGTCAGCTAGTTAGTATTATGACTATTAATATATGCTTGGTCTTGTAGTATACATGTCTTATTGATCAATATAATTTTCTACACAATAAACGACTATCTCTTTATACCTATTTATAAGTGTGTTTTAATAGAAATTTTACTCTAAAACCTGTGTTGCTGTAAATGCATTGTCTGTTTCTATATTTACCTACAATTTTGTGTTATACATTTTCCCAAAAGTTTGTAATTCATCCTTTCACTCAAAATATTAAATTTACCAATAGTTTTATGTAGTCTATACACTAGCGTTTGTGTCACTGTGGATACACATTTTACTGAAATTTTTGTGTACATTTTACACAACATTTTTTGCAGTTAAAAACCCATTATCTTGTGTGGTGTGTTTTTATTCCATACAAATGCATTTCAGACTTTTCCTATATTCTATAACAACTAATATGGCTGTTTAACTTTCGATTTCTTCTTCGTTCAGTCAAAAGATGTGATTTTCAAAAGGGACTGGGAACTACTGAATGTCCATGGCACAACGTAGAAGGTGACGATGACTTTGACTGGAAACTTAGTACATCATACTCATCATTTTATGAATTTTTTGACCCACCACGCTATGATGCTGCAGGCTTCAGTATTGGTAAGATGGCAACGTTTATAGTGAATAAGTATTGTATGTACAACTGCTTGAATTAAAAAAAGAAAAATGATGAAGAGTATCTAGGATTTTGTCTTTAAATGACAACTCGGATTTTAAACGTCAATCAGTAAGTTACTCCTTAATAAAATCTAACGTCATAAATTTATTGCTGGATCTAAAATAGATACTTACTTAAAATTAAAATCAGATGTAGTTTCATTCAGCTAAAAGACACAAAAATAGATGATAATTTTATAGCTATTATGGTTTTTTAAAAAATTTTGTTTATTGAATTTGTTAAACCACGATAATTTTATATTTCTTTATATATAAAGTCCGCATATATCTTACAATTCTTCATGTGTTGTAGGACGATATTTTTATTCTTTATATATATAGTCTACATATATCTTACATTTCTTCATGTGTTGTAGGACGATATCTTCGTTTGGAATCATATTTTTCAGGCAAAGCTTGGTTGGTTGGAAACTATCGCAACGACTCTCTCGTGTGTTTTTCATTTTCGTATTACATGTATAACAGTTATTTTGCTGGGTCATTAAATATCTACCAAGAATATTTTCACAATGGATACAATCTTTTACTGTGGTCATTAAGTGGTCATCAAGGAACTAAGTGGAAAAAAGGCCAAGTCACAGTTAATTTTACAATGGGTCTATCTAGGGTAGGCAACTTACACATATTTATACAACTTAAAATTAAACTTCGGCAATTTGTCCAAGCCCCTTACTTTTCTTCATAGTTAATCGTTGAAGCTGTCGTGCGTAGATACACAAGAAACTCTCCAGCTCTCGACAATCTTGCTTTTGCTCCAGGAAGCTGTGACACAATACCAAAGGTGGCCATTCCTAACAATGCTTTTGGTAAGTATTTGTTTTCTTGGAATGTGAAGTGTTTTGCTTGATCACTTTTGTTGTTCTTATGTTCTTGGAAATTTTCTAACTTTTTATTTGGTTCATAGTTAACTTACATAATGAGACAGGAAACATTGAATACAATAAATAAATCAACTGTAGAATTTTAATTGTCAGTCAACTTTTTATTTTCATTAATCGTCTTTATAGATTGTTCAATTGGTTCATTCTTTTCCTTTAAAAGTAACAAATGTGAAAAATGTCCCATCTATACATATCAACCATATCCAAAACAAATTCGTTGTCTTCCATGTAATGATGGTAAAGGTACCATCAATGTTGGTGCAGTGAGTGAACGAGAATGTATAAAAGGTAATTTTTATTATTATTAGTAAAATTTCTGTTTTGAAAAATCAATGTATTATAAACATATTTTGTTTTTATGTTTTCCTTATTTTTTCTACTAAATAGAATAATCCCCAACGTAAAAACTTGTACATACCTTGTTTGCAGAACTAGATTTGATAATATACTTATATGTCGTATGTTATTTCGTAAAAAACCGTATTTCTTGCACGTCTTTCAACGCTCCATTCTGTGACGATAGAAATGAAGACACTACTTGTTGTTGATTTTCTTTATCAATTTTATGAAGAAGCATTTTAAAAATATTTATTCATGATTTTTGTAATTTTGAACATCGGGAGTATTTGCGTTGATTTTAACCTTGGTTATCTATACATAACCACATGAACGAAACACTTTGACAAAATACTAAAACAACAAAGATAAACTAAAACCATGTATAATTGAACAATGTATATATGGTACTTTTCAGCATTGCTACTTACAATTCAGTATTAAAAAATCAATGTATTGTATAGTTAATATATTGATAAGTTTTTGCTGTCATTACTTGGTGTTTCACGCCATAGGGCGATCTTCAGGAAACTGACAGATAATTTATTATTTACTGTATATGCAATTGGTTATTAGGTACTAGATTACATAACGGCATGCCCTACAATAAAGCATGTCTGGATTACCATTCTTTAAACTTATATATATGTACTTTAGAAAGATAAAAGTTTATCCGGATAAGTTATTTTATTAATGGTGGATTTAGGTGATTGAATGACGTGAAATATGTTGTTGTGGGTTTGGGTGTATTGTGAATAGGATTGTGATAATATATATTATTACCGTGAGTTGCTGTGGTTTGAGTGTCGTTAGTAGATTTTTTGTCGTTTTTCTTTAGCTGTGAATATATACGATAGGTATGTCAATATGTTTGTTCATTGTGTCGTTGTCTTTACTGTACCAAGCGTCTTTAAATTTGCGTGCGTGTTTTGTCTGTGCGCGTCCGAGTACTTTAATTTCTGTACAATCCTATGCCTCGTTATTTGCAAACGTGTGTTCTGTCGTTAATGAGTTTGGATCTCGTCGTTTTTGGCGTTTTTGTGTTTTGTGAGTCTTGTTTCGATTTTCTTCGATTTTTGTCCTATATGTATTGTTTTGAGCAATCTTTAAATGGCATCATGTAGATTGTGTCCTTTGTATGATGAATTGTTGTTGTTTTGTCTTTATGTTTGCCAAAATATGATTTGTCTTTTGTGTTGGTTTGTTTGCGACGTTTATATTGAATGGTCGAAGAAGTCATGCAGTCTTTTTTGATGTTCCGTTTATGTATGCATGGATGTGATTGTTTTACTGTTTCATCGGGTTATTCGTTACTTTTGTTGGTTTGGGTTTTGTTTTGTGTTTTGTTTATAATTTTGTTTATAAATTTTCTATTGTAATTGTTTTATATAAATGTGGAGTATCAGTAATTGCGTTCTGTTTTCTTAGCCTTTTCGGTGTTAAGCGCGGGCCACACTATCGTCGAAATGCAACGAATTTCGTGACGAGTCGCTCGTCAACGAGCCGTCGTGACGAGTACATGTGCCACATTGTAACGATTTTCCGTACAAGCATGGACGATTATCAGCGCAAAAAGAAACTTCTATTATTGAAGAGAAAAATTCTACTGCTTCTAATTTCTGCAAAACGACGTAGATACAAAAGAAGGTTCTGGGTACATCCCATAAATAAAAGGCGAGAAGAGATGGGCTTGTATGACACGTTGTTGCAAGAGCTTCGTCAAGCTCTATTGGTCGCAACTTTCAGTTCCCGAGCAGCATCCTTCCAATTATTTTTCTTTATATTGCGTGTATCTTTATAGTCAGGATGAAACTTGCCCCACAAACATCGCCTCTCTCTCACTAGCTCAATTAATATTTCTTGCCAATACGCCATTTTGCCACAGCACAGTGAAAGTAAACATTAGTCATGTGATTTTTCTTGTCCAATTAGAGTAGATATGCAACAATTACTCGTCACTCGTTGACGATTTCGGTGTGCATGCTCAACGGCGACGAACTCGTCCATATCGTCATATTTTCTCGTTGACGAGCGACTCGTCACGAAATTCGTTGCATTTCGACGATAGTGTGGCCCGCGCTTTACAATAAGTGTTGATTCTGATGAAAAGGTGTTCGTATGCAGCATATTTTATGTTGTGTTGGGTGATTGATGTTGAAATCAAATATTTGGTCTGTGTGGGTCGTTTTGCGGCACAATATGTGTGTTTAGTGTGCTGTTCTAGTCAGTAGGATACAGAGAAAAGTAAGTTGTTTTTCATGTCTTCATCTTTAGTAAAGGTTATGTTTATTATTGTATTGTTTAAGGTTTGTAGGATTTGTTCAGTTTTGTCTTTCTTGACAATGGCAAAGATGTCGTCGACACATCTTTTCCTCAGTCTGATGTCTGTGTTGTTGGTGACTGATTGTGATTCGAGTTGTTGCATTATAATTTCTGCGGTGAAGGTGGATAGTGATGACACAATTTGTGTGCCTGAAATTTGTCTATGGTATGAGTTCTGTAAGGGGAATTCAGTGAAGAGGCAAAGACTGAGTAAGTCTAAGATGTCATTTTTGTCAAGTTGTGTCGTGGCTTGCCAAGATTTGTCGTTTGTAAATAGTTCGTTTTTAATACTTTGGCTGTGTCTACTAGTAAGGATGTGAAGAGTAACAGGGGCGGATTGAAACTACGTCACATTCAGCACGCGACGTAGTTAAATTCTTCACAGCAGCGGAAAAAATTAATCAAATTTTAAATGCCTCTAGTTGAAAATAAAAACAATTTACCGAGTGTGGATCGAAGTCCGTTTTGTCGAAAGGACTAAGAGCATTTTTCTATTCGTCTTTTGCAGGTTCGAGTCTCGTCTCGGTATGGTGTAGTTTGTTTCGTTGTGTGAATAATGATCATGAATTCTTTATCCGAAAATTAATTAAATTTTTTCTGTCCTCACAACGAAAGCATTAGAAAAATAAACATATTGTCAGGGTTAGGGATAGTATTATGAGAAAATTGTGCAACAACGTGCATTCACTGAGCAATGTTATTGTCTCCAAGACCTGGATTAAGATTGGGATTAAGGGATCAAGTGGCTAAAATAAATTATATTTCACTTGCGGGAGAAATACCCATAGCTAACCCGCACAGAGTCAGCACGCCTTAAATTGTGCTGAATTTGGAGACTAAAATCTGTCTCTTGATTGGTTTATTGCCGTTGTGCTGACTAACGAGCCGCCGTTTTTGCTGAAATGTTCAAGCGGTGTTGTGCGAAATTCAGCACAGATTGAGATTGTTGATAGCTGAGGTTTTATCTTTGAGCTTCAAAACTAACGATTTTAATGAGAAGCATGGCATCTTTCACTGATCGAGTCGAAGATGCTTTTACGAGGAAAGATGGGACTTTTATGGCTCAACTCTACGGAGAGATGTTGGATTGCCTGAAAGTCAACAGCATTGTTACCAACGATAATTTGTTGGATCGTCTCGGTGTTGATATTTTCCGAAATATCAATGCCGAATTTTACAACCGCAGAGTGCCAAGACAAAGAACACAAATTTGGTTGCCTTAAGGTTAGAAAACTTATGACATGTTATGCATGCATGCTTACACAAGAATATATAAGCAAATATAAATTGACTTGATGTGATGCCCGATGGATTTGTCATTTGTGGTTTATTTATGTGATTGAAAACAAAACAAATTTTCCAATTTCGATCATATTTAAAACGTTTCTATTGATTTATTTCTTGATGTGTTACTTAAGATAAGATATACAAAAATGAACTGAAGCATAATATTTGAAATTTACATAACATTATTTCAGATCTGCTACAAATGGCAACTGCCTCTATAGTTCATTGTCAATTCTGCTTGTTGGTGACAACTCTGTGGTGACTATTTTGAGGCTCATGACTTCTATAGAATTATTTTTATATGCTGATTATTATGCTAAACATCCATGTTTTCAAATCTTTTGAAACTCAGCATAACAAACACTTTGATTCCATCTCAAGCATGGTGGCCATGTCAGTCTCTTTTGAAGCTATTGATAGTGCTGGAAGTGGTTGTTCTGTTGCTGAACTGGTCAGGGCAGAAGCTGTGTTAAATGCAAAAGATATGGCATGGACTGGGTTTGTTTGTTTGTTGGCACTCTCTTCAGTTACATCCTGTAGCATTTTTTCTTACTATCCTGACATATACTCTAGTGCTTATAGGTGGAATTTATTATTTAACCAAAGAATCGAACCTCGAATTCGATCTAGAGCTTGTGCTTCCACTAGTAATTATTTGCGAGTTTTGTTTTGCTTTGAAGGTTCAGCTCCTCAAGCAACTGCATTCAAACACAATGCCTTTGATACTTGGTGGGAAGGGAACTAAAAGAAAGGGAAGTAGTCACTTGTCACAAGCTAAAAAGCCCAGTATACAAACAAAGTTGAGGTTTACACCTTCTGGTCCTACTAAGACAACCATGACAACTAAGGCTCATCCATATGGTATATCTCACAGTAGCGCTTTGGGTTCTTGTGATGCTTCTTCTTTTATTTCATCTTCTACCTTGCAATTACCAGATAATAAAACTGCAAATGCTGATTTGCCTAGAAATCCATATGATGTTGGTTTTTATAGAGAAAAGGTGAGAGGTATGGAAATTCATGAAATTGAAAACTTGTGAAGAATGTATTCTGACCTGATGAATGCTATGAATTTCCTAAAACTGTTGATGCAAATGGTGCAGTAGGTCTTTTCGACATGATTGGCTGAAGGATTATCTTTGGCTTTCATATTCTCCAAGTCTTAATGGTGCTTTTGCTTACCATGTGTTTTGTTTGGTGATAGGTTTCCTCCAAAACAGTCGAATTAAAATATTTTTTTCAGAGCCATTAACACATTGGCCTGATGCTAAAAGTGCAATAAAAAGGCATATAAGTACATCATCAGGTCTTCATGTTCACACTTCGGCTCTTCTTAAGGATATCTTGGATCAGAGTTCCGGTAAAAGCCAGCCAATAAATGTCATGATTGACAGTAACTTAAAGAAAAAGATTTCAGAGAATAGGAAAAAATTAGTTCCAGTAGTTGATACCATCATTCTTGCAGGTCGCCTTCAATTACCACTTAGAGGTCATCGGGATGATTCTCAGTATCATCCTGAAGTTGGTGAATATTCTGAAAAGCATGTTGGTAATTTTATTGAATTATTAAACTTCCGTGTTCGTGCAGGGGACACCATTTTGGAATCCCATCTTAAGCATCATGATAAAAATGCCTCCTACATCTCTAAAACTACTCAGAATGAGTTAATTAGGTGTTGTGGTCAATTCATCACTGAACAGCTTCTAGTTGAAGTAAAAAAGAGCAAGTTTTATGCATTGATTGCAGACGAAACATGTGATATTTCTAATAAAGAACAGATGTCTTTGGTTTTGCGTTTTGTTGACGAGGAGTTCAACATAAGAGAAGAATTTGAACATTCAGGACTGTCGTGGGCAGGGGTATGATGGCGCAGGTGCTGTTGCTGGATGCATTAATGGTCTTGCTGCAAGGATTAAGAATTTGAATGAGAAAGCCATTTACACACATTGTTTCAGTCACAGATTAAATCTTAGTATTTGTGGGACTTGTGCTGTTCAGTATGTAAGAAATGTTTTGGAACATGTGAAGGAAGTTGCTAACTTTTCAACTCTTCCCAATGCAGACAACTAATTTTGGAGAAATGCATTGGAAAACGCTGTCCAGATTCTGCAAAAAAGAGATTGAAAAGTGCTTGTAAGACAAGATGGGTCGAGCGTATTACTAGCTTAGATACTTTTGAAGAACTGTATGTTGCTATTGTTTTTTCCTTGGAAGAAATGAGTTTTAACGTCGAAGGCAAGTGTAATCGTGAGACCTCTAGTAAAGCTTCCCTCTGTTACATCTTTTGACATCTTTTGATTTTATTGCAGCACTCGTAATAACTAGATGTATTTTGATCTTACTCTTCCAGTTACTCAGTTACTTCAGTCTTCTAGTAATGATATTGCTGACGGTTTGAACTTGATTTAGGCATTAAAAATTGTCGAGAACTGTAAGAAATGAAGTCGATGTTTATCATGCTAACTGGTACAGTATTGCATTGACGATGGCAGAAAAGGTGGGTGTTGAAGAGAAAAAACCTAGAACTTGTGGTCGTCAGGCAATTAGAAGTAATGTTCCGTCTCAATCTGTATCTGATTACTTTAAGAAAACAATAACCATTCCTTTAGCTGATCACTTGTGTTCTGAGTTAGAAAAACGGTTTGATTCATCAGCAACTAGCATATATTATGGCTTGTTTTTAATTCCATCCAAGTTACTTTTGTGTCTTTCTTGTGGCGTTTCTTGGAAGGAAAAATTTTATTCATTTTCTTCTTTGTTCTTGGATGATCTTCCAAATCCAAAGGCTTTAGATGGTGAACTTGATCTCTGGCAGAAATACTGGGAATCGTCTTCTACAACTTGTCTTCCTGAAAATGTCTCTTCTACTTTAAAGTCGGTAAATTTTCCAGGTTTTGAGAACATAAAAGTATTGTTAAAGATCTTAGGTACTATTCCAGTCACTTCTTGTGAGTGTGAGAGGTCGTTCTCTGCTTTGCGAAGACTAAAGAACTATACAAGAAGTACTATGGCTGCTGACAGGTTAAATGGTCTTGCTTTATTGTATATTCATCAGGACATTAATCTAGATATAGAAAAATTATAGATCTTTTGCAAAAGACAAAGAAGAATTGAACTAGCTTTCTAGTTCGGAGTGAAAGTTCTTCATGCCTTTTTTAAACTCTTGACTGTAAAGATGACTGCCGCTAACCTCAGTCAATATAAACACAAACAATCGTTCTCAGGACTTTACTTACCTGGACGATCGAAATCTACAAACATTTTTTTGCTTTTTGTTTTATTGACAACTTCATTTGATAAATTGACATAAAATCGTTTGCATAATAATCAGCATATAGGTATGACTAGACCATTATAAAATGAAATTCCATATTGATGAAGCGTAAAGAATTTTTTTAGGCTAAGTTTGTAATGAACCAGGCCGTCCATGTCGGAAGCCCTCAAAGCATATTTTTTGCGAGTTTCCTAGGCATGCTGATGAGCTCTGATATTGAGCGAAACGGTCAAAAATCGATAATTTATGAGCAAGAATGTTAGCTCATTCCAGTAATAAATATTTTAGAAGACCAACTGCAAAAACGCAGGAAATGGCGTTTTTCGCAATATAATTTTAAAAATTTACCGGGGGGGACATGTTCCTGGACCCCCCCAGAAAAGTCGCGCTAACGGTGCGACATTGTGCCTAAGTTCATATACGAAGCTGGATCCGCCCCTGAAGAGTAATGTCACGTCGTAAGATATCATAACTGTGTCTGTGTCTGGTTGTAGTTTAACGGTGTCAATGTTAACGAGGAAGGTGGTGGCGTTTTTGATGGTGTGAGGCGAACTTTTGACTAGAGAATAAAGAATGTTACATAGATATTTTGATAGTTCATATTTAGGTGATCCTGGAAGAGGTACGATTTGTTGTATATAATTTAGCTATTTCTTTGTTTTTCTATTAATAATATAGGAATAATCCGTAAAAATTTGTAGATATACCTTGTTTGCATGGCTATAGAGTTAAAATGCACTGATATTTCATATGCCTATAAAGTAAAAATCCATATTTCTAGCACGTCTTTCAACACTGCATTCTGGTACGATAGAAATAAAGACAGTGCATGTTGTTGATTTTCTTTAACAATTTTATGGAGCAGTAGTTTGAAACTATTTACATATGATTTTTCAATCATTGAACATCATAAATATTAGCGTTGATTTGTTTCGTTGTTATTTATATATAACACGCATACGAAATATTTTAACAAATTGCTAGTTCAGAATATACCCCCAAATATCCAAATATCGCATTTAAATTGCATATAGTAAAATTTGTATTTAGGTTAAAAAAGTATATAAAGTAGACTTATATATAATCTTTTCTTCAAAATACTTGAAAAAGTTACCAAGTGAGTCCACATAACATTTATAAAAAGCAATTTTAACATTCATAATCTACAATTCGACATATTTTTAATGGTAAAGTTACCGTGGGTTTTACAAATATATTAAGTATATAGAACGATCTTCACTCTTGCTGGAAGAAATTTTTGTCATTAAGTTGTTTAGTGAAATTCTTGATAAATTTAGTGAACATTAAAGATTTTGTGTGTCGACGACTTCTGAGACTGGAAATTTTTACACAATTTCGAGTTTTTGCTGAACTTTCAGCAAACGTAGCCAAATTACAAACAAGAATTGCTGATTGATTAAAAACGTAAGATAATTTGTGTATTTATAAGTTTGATGCTTTTATCATTTAAACCAGGGTCTCCAAACTACGGCCCGGGCCAGATGCGCCCGTTGGGCCTCTCAATCCGGCCCGCAGAGACACTTAAGAAAGCCAATTTCACCACTCACATTGAGAAAACTGAACAGACTAATTGTGATTTTATTATGATATTATACTTTGTTGAAATTTAACCTTTAAATTTTGAATAAATATTTTCTTAACTAATGAAGCTTGTGTTATGTACTTCGTTTTATTAAAATATTCCTCTTTGACCAGCGGTATACGATTCGTCGGCCCTCAACATGCTGGATGAAAGTCATGTGGCCATCTGGCTGTAAAGTTCGGAAACCCCTTATTTAAACCATACGTAAAACATAATGTTAAATGGACTGCGTAAAATTTCGTGTAAATTTACGCAATTAATTGCGTAAATCATCTCATTTAACTAAAATTTTGAGTTCTGTCAACTTAAAACTACGGTAAAATCTTTACTTACTTTTTTGAATTGAAAATATACAAATTTCTTTGAGTAAACAATTTGCTCATTTTTGTGTAAATTGTTATACACAAAATCATGTAGAGCAGAGCGTTAAAGTGAAGAGTTGCGCAATTTAGAGAAGTTTTAAAATGTTTTGTAATAAGTGTAATCAAATTAATTTTTAAGTTGACTCATAAAATATATGTTATTTACCGGAAGGGATGTCAGCGCGGAAAATATATTTTCACGAGTTCTTAAAAATCCAGTAATCCACATATAATCGATGCATGTTATCTTTACTTTGACTAACGCCGCATATGCTGCATGACACTGTCAGCTAGTTAGTATTACGACTATTAATATATGCTTGGTCTTGTACTATATATATGTCTTATTGATTAATGTAATTTTCTACACAATAAGCGACTATCTCTTTATACCTATTTATAAGTGTGTTTTAATAGAAATTTTACTCTAAAACCTGTGTTGCTGTAAATGCATTGTCTGTTTCTATATTTTTTTGCCTACAATTTTGTGTTATACATTTTCCTAAAAGTTTGTAATTCATGCTTTCACTCAAAATATTAAATTTACCAATAGTTTTATGTAGTCTATACACTAGCGTTTGTGTCACTGTGGATACACATTTTACTGAAATTTTTGTGTACAATTTACACAACATTTTTTGCAGTTAAAAACCCATCATCTTGTGTGGTGTGTTTTTATTCCATACAAATGCATTTCAGATTTTTCCTATATTATATAACAACTAATATGGCTGTTTAACTTTCGATTTCTTCTTCGTTCAGTCAAAAGATGTGATTTTCAAAAGGGACTGGGAACTACTTTATGTCCATGGCACAACGTAGAAGGTGACGATGACTATGACTGGAAACTTCTTACATCATACTCATCATTTTATGAATTTTATGACCTACCACGCTATGATGCTACAGGCTTCAGTATTGGTAAGATGGCAGCGTTTATAGTGAATAAGTGTTGTATGTGCAACTGCTTGAATTAAAAAAAGAAAAATGATGAAGAGTACTTAGGATTTGTCTTTAAATGACAACTCGGATTTTAAACGTCAAACAGTAAGTTACTTCTTAATAAAATCTAACGTCATAAATATATTGCTGGATCTAAAATAGATACTTACTTAAAATTAAAATCAGATGTAGTTTCATTCAGCTAAAAGACACAAAAATAGATGATAATTTTATAGCTATTATGGTTTTTTAAAAAATTTTGTTTATTGAATTTGTTAAACCACGATAATTTTATATTTCTTTATATATAAAGTCCGCATATATCTTACAATTTTTCATGTGTTGTAGGACGATATTTTTACTCTTTATATATATAGTCTACATATATCTTACATTTCTTCATGTGTTGTAGGACGATATCTTCGTTTGGAATCATATATTTCAGGCAAAGCTTGGTTGGTTGGAAACTATCGCAACGACTCTCTCGTGTGTTTTTCATTTTCGTATTACTTGCATACCAGTTATTATAATACATTGAATATCTACCAAGAATATTTTCACAATGGATACAATCTTTTACTGTGGTCATTAAGTGGTGATCAAGGAACTAAGTGGAAAAAAGGCCAAGTCACAGTTAATTTTACAATGGGTCTATCTAGGGTAGGCAACTTACACATATTTATACAACTTAAAATTAAACTTCGGCAATTTGTCCAAGCCCCTTACTTTTTCTTCATAGTTAATCGTTGAAGCTGTCGTGCGTAGATACAAAAGAAAAATTGTAGCTCTCGACAATCTTGCTTTTGCTCCAGGAAGCTGCAACACAATACCAAAGGTGGCCATTCCTAACAATGCTTTTGGTAAGTATTTGTTTTCTTGGAATGTGAAGTGTTTTGCTTGATCACTTTTGTTGTTCTTATGTTCTTGGAAATTTTCTAAATTTTTCATTTGATTCATAGTTAACTTACACAATGAGACAGGAAACATTGTATACAATAAATAAATCAACTGTAGAATTTTAATTGTCAGTCAACGTTTTATTTTCATTAATCGTCTTTATAGATTGTTCAATTGGTTCATTCTTTTCCTTTAAAAGTAACAAATGTGAAAAATGTCCCATCTATACATATCAACCATATCCAAAACAAATTCGTTGTCTTCCATGTAATGATGGTAAAGGTACCATCAATGTTGGTGCAGTGAGTGAACGAGAATGTATAAAAGGTAATTTTTATTATTATTAGTAAAATTTCTGTTTTGAAAAATCAATGTATTATAAACATATTTTTGTTTTTATGTTTTCCTTATTTTTTCTACTAAATAGAATAATCCCCAACGTAAAAACTTGTACATACCTTGTTTGCAGAACTAGATTTGATAATATACTTATATGTCGTATGTTATTTCGTAAAAATCCGTATTTCTTGCACGTCTTTCAACGCTCCATTCTGTTACGATAGAAATAAAGACACTACTTGTTGATTTTCTTTATCAATTTCATGAAGCAGCATTTTAAAAATATTTATTCATGATTTTGTAATTTTGAACATCGGGAGTATTTGCGTTGATTTTAACCTTGATTATCTATACATAACCACATGAAGGAAACACTTTGACAAAATACTAAAACAACAAAGATAAACTGAAACCATGTACAATTGAACAACAATGTATATATGGTAATTTTCAGCATTGCTACTTACAATTCAGTATTAAAAAATCAATGTATTGTATAGTTAATATATTGATAAGTTTTTGCTGTCACTACTTGGTGTTTCACGCCATAGGGCGATGTTCAGGAAACTGACAGATAATTTATTATTTACTGTATATGCAATTGGTTATTAGGTACTAGATTACATAACGGCATGCACTACAATAAAGCATGTCTGGATTACCATTCTTTAAACTTATATATATGTACTTTAGAAAGATAAAAGTTTATCCGGATAAGTTATTTTATTAATGGTGGATTTAGGTGATTGAATGACGTGAAATATGTTGTTGTGGGTTTGGGTGTATTGTGAATAGGATTGTGATAATATATATTATTACCGTGAGTTGCTGTGGTTTCAGTGTCGTTAGTAGATTTTTTATCGTTTTTCTTTAGCTGTGAATATATACGATAGGTATGTCAATATGTTTGTTCATTGTGTCGTTGTCTTTACTGTACCAAGCGTCTTTAAATTTGCGTGCGTGTTTTGGTATGTGCGCGGCCGAGAACTTTAATTTCTGTCCAATCCTATGCGTCGTTATTTGCAAACGTGTGTTCTGTCGTTAATGAGTTTGGATTTCGTCGTTTTATGGCGTTTTTGTGTTCTGTGAGTCTTGTTTCGATTTTCTTCGATTTTTGTCCTACATGTATTGTTTTGAGCAATCTTTAAATGGCATCATGTAGATTGCGTCCGTTGTATCATGAATTGTTGTTGTTTTGTCTTTATGTTTGCCAAAATATGATTTGTCTTTTGTGTTGGTTTGTTTGCGACGTTTATATTGAATGGTTGAAGAAGTCATGCAGTCTGTTTTGATGCTCCGTTTATGTATGCATGGATGTGATTGTTTTTACTGTTTCATCGGGTTATTCGTTACTTTTGTTGGTTTGGGTTTTGTTTTGTGTTTTGTTTATAATTTTGTTTATGAATTTTCTATGGTAATTGTTTTTTATAAATGTGGAGTATAAGTAATTGCGTTCTGTTTTCTTAGCCTTTTCGATGTTACAATAAGTGTTGATTCTGATGAAAAGTTGTTCGTATGCAGCATATTTTGTGTTGTGTTGGGTGATTGATGTTGAAATCAAATATTAGGTCTGTGTGGCTCGTTTTGCGGCACAATATGTGTGTTTAGTGTGCTGTTCTAGTCAGTGGGATACAGAGAAAAGTAAGTTGTTTTTCATGTCTTCATCTTTAGTAAAGGTTATGTTTATTATTGTATTGTTTAAGGTTTGTAGGATTTGTTCAGTTTTGTCTTTCTTGACAATGGCAAAGATGTCGTCGACATATCTTTTCCTCAGACTGATGTCTGTGTTGTTGGTGACCGATTGTGATTCGAGTTGTTGCATTATAATTTCTGCGGTGAAGGTGGATAGTGGTGACACAATTTGTGTGCCTGAAATTTGTCTATGGTATGAGTTCTGTAAGGAGAATTGAGTGAAGAGGCAAAGACTGAGTAAGTCTAAGATGTCATTTTTGTCAAGTTGTGTCGTGGCTTGCCAAGATTTGTCGTTTGTAAATAGTTCGTTTTTAATACTTTGGCTGTGTCTACTAGTATGGATGTGAAGAGTAATGTCACGTCGTAAGATATCATAACTGTGTCTGTGTCTGGTTGTAGTTTAACGGTGTCAATGTTGACGAGGAAGATGGTGGCGTTTTTGATGGTGTGAGGCGAACTTTTGACTAGAGAATAAAGAATGTTACATAGATATTTTGATAGTTCATATTTAGGTGATCCTGGAAGAGGTACGATTTGCTGTATATAATTTAGCTGTTTCTTTGTTTTTCTATTAATAATATAGGAATAATCCGTAAAAATTTGTAGATATACCTTGTTTGCATGGCTAAAGTTGATAATGCACTGATATTTCATATGCCTATAAAGTAAAAATCCATATTTCTAGCACGTCTTTCAACGCTGCATTCTGGTACGATAGAAATAAAGACAGTGCATGTTGTTGATTTTCTTTAACAATTTTATGGAGCAGTAGTTTGAAACTATTTACATATGATTTTTCAATCATTGAACATCATAAATATTAGCGTTTATTTGTTTCGTTGTTATTTATATATAACACGCATACGAAATATTTTAACAAATTGCTAGTTCAGAATATACCCCCAAATATCGCATTTAAATTGCATATAGTAAAATTTGTATTTAGGTTAAAAAAGTATATAAAGTAGAGTTATATATAATCTTTTCTTCAAAATACTTGGAAAAGTTACCAAGACAGTCCACATAACATTTAAAAAAAGCAATTTTAACATTCATAATCTACAATTCGACATATTTTTAATAGTAAAGTTACCGTGGGTTTTACAAATATATTAAGTATATAGAACGATCTTCACTCTTGCTGGAAGAAATTTTTGTCATTAAGTTGTTTAGTGAAATTCTTCATAAATTTAGTGAACATTAAAGATTTTTGTGTGTCGACGACTTCTGAGACTGGAAATTTTTTTACACAATTTTGATTTTTTTGCTGAACTTTCAGCAAACGTTGCCAAAATACAAACAAGAATTGCTGATTGATTAAAAACGTAAAATAATTTGTGTATTTATAAGTTTGATGCTTTTATCATTTAAAGTTTAAATGATATAGAATCAAACTAGAATCTAGGCGCTAGGCGCTTCGACGCCCCCGTCTTCCGTCTTGTTGTCGTCCTTGACGTTGCGCGTGCTCTTCGAACTTCGTCTTGCAAGTCTTTCCAGCCCTCGATCTTTTTGCAGCACCGCCCGTCGTCTGCTCGCGGGATGGCACATATTCCACGCGGTAACCGTCGGAGGGGTGAGACATGTTGCCGTTAAGAATACCTGCGCCGAAAATACTGTCAACGACATTGTCCCCAAGCGAGCTGAGGGCACCGAGGGCGAAGGGGATAGCAGCATTCTTCGTGTAAGGGGCTATCCTGATGGTGGCTCTTAATAGCCTTGGGGGGAAAGCCAATCCCCCGCGGATCATGATTGCAGTTTGCCGTTCAGGCGGGTGCGTCTTCATTTGGTTGGCGGTCCGGTCTCCCGTCCCCTTTCCCATCAGCATGGGGAGCAGGCTCAACCCCACCAACGCCCAAGGAAAGCCTCCACGCTGCATGAGCATTTGTGACTTGATCGGGTCGCTCATCGCTTTTTGCATCTCCAACGGCGACACACCGTTTCCTGGTCCTAACATGCGTAGGAGGGGAAGAAACCTGCCATATTGGCGGTTTGTCGTCGCGAGGTGACCCCTGCGATAACGGTGGTTGCTCGTTTTTAGATCACCACCTTCCATGTTGCTTCTTGTAATTATGCTAGCATAATTACACTATGACAACAAAACTCTACACGTCAAATGTAATTATGCTAGCATATGTAATTACTGTATAAATCAGACGACACTACAGCTGATTCCTTTCTCTTTCGACGTCGTGTACATATACTGATCGAGGCACAGAAGGTTCACTTTGATTGACGTGGTGGCGTCGGAGGGGAGCGCAATAGGACTGTCCGCCACTGCCGTGAACTGATAATCGATTGTGAGATTGCCCCGCGCTTTTGCGTTATCTGTGACACCAGGTGCCATTTTAAGGGTATTATCGGGATTAAAGTCAGGATCGGCTCCGCCTGCTGTGTTTGTTGCAAAGGCATTGCCATTGCGACGGTCCACTCCATAGAAGTAGGTCTGCAAGGGGATAGCTTTCAAAGCCTTCTTGGGATCCAGCTTCTTTAAGCAGAATAAGTCACTATCCGATTATTGCAACTTCCCGATCGAGCTCTCCATAAGACTCAGGATGTGCTGAACCGGCTGCATATCAGCCACGACTCCACTCTGCGTGACCTCTTGTCCGTTGAGCTCCACACGGATGTTTTTTACCCAACTAAAGGCTGAGCTCTTGGGAGTGATCCAATTGGGATAATTGCCCGTGTTTGGGTGGTTGCGATTGTCTTTTACCGCGTACCGCATCTTGACCATGAAATCCGATTCCGAAAGTGCCATAAAGTTGTTTGCCGAGCTGATGTCTATCCCAGTCGAGAGACTTGGATTGTCCAGATAGAGAGTGACCCTAGCTCGCCCCTCAAGCAAGGACACCTTATTTTCGGTTCTCTCCTCGATGGCATCCTGGACTACCATCACAGGTGACAACAGACCGCGGAAGGGCTCGTGGATTTGGGATGTGTCAAGAGTCGTCGCCATGGTTCACCTTCGGTAAATGCGTCAGTGGCTTGTACCTCCAATTGGATGGAAGGGGGTTGTTTGGTCATGTTTAAACATGGAAGCAGCAACAAGCGTAGTCCTATCCGGAGTGAATAACTCGCCGGCGGTCAGCCGCGGCCTCCTCGAGCCAACTTTATGATGCGGGTTAAGGACCTGAACACTGCTGGAAAGCCGATTTTCGTCGAAAGTGCCCAGTTTGAGCTCCATTATCTAAATGTCGGGCCTAAAAGCAACAAGCTGTACGTTGTTATTGGTGACAGCGAGACCGCGCTCAGCATCCTAACGGGGACATACACAGAGGTCGGGCACCTCATCAAAG